CTAGCTCTGAAATGAGGCTCTTGGTGCACACAGCAGCACCAAATTTCTTCCAGATGTTTTGTTTTGAATTAGCTTGGTTCAAACTAGGGTACCTGGTGCACAGGCACTCTTAGCCGAAGGCACTTTTCTAGGAAACAGGGATCTGCGTACTGAGGAGCTGTCATCCTAAAGTGGGATTTGGGTTTCCTTTCTGCTTCCTCTAAACTACAGTTCATAGGAAGCAGCTCCCAAAATCGAGGTGACACGGTGCTTGTTTGCCTGCCACAGCAGATGGCATCCTCACTGCCTGTTCCTGTCTTCAAGGGTGTGCTTAAATTAGAAACATTACTAAATACAGGTGTGCTACCACCTTAAACTGCAAGAACACTTTGCTGTTTGTCCAGCTAGCTCCACAAACAGCGTGTTCAATCCTTCACATGGATTATCTCCTCGAAGCTGACTTGGCTGTTTGGCTAGGATTGCTGGTGTTGATGGGATGTGTGTTGGATAGTAGCGATGAACCTCTCTGGGTGTGAAGCAGAGAGGGAAATCCCTGTGTTTGGGAGTGGAAAGGTTTAGGTTTTTTTTTGGTGTAGTTTTTGCTATATTTGGTTAGTTTCGTATCACTTTGCTTTTACTGATACAACTCTAAAAATAAAGTCTCTCTGTATAAAAAAGTAAGGTTTGCTGCAACAGATGGGCCATGACTTTACAAGGCTTGTCCTGTTGCGTCAATGCAGAACATAACAGGACATCCCCTGGGGACGGGCTCCAAGCTCTCAGGCCTGAAAGAGCAAATGGGCAATCTTTATTCTCTGCTCTTTGTCTTAAAAATAACTCACTTTTTTTGGAAGATGCAATGAGAAGAGACACAGAGCAGGCTTCCTCGGGCTGTGGCGCACACAGCTGGCTGCGTGATGGGCTGCTGTAACCCTCTGCATGGTTCTCAGTGATGCTCTGAGGGTGAATGACAGCAGGATCCAGAGAGTGGCCTCCTGGGTGTCCTTCACGAAATAAACTTTTAATAGAGGCAGTGTGAGCTTTTTGCCTTGGCTCTGACAATCAGCAAAGAAGTTGGATGCTCCGGTGGTGGAATGAGCACAACAGTGTGGGACAGCTGCTGAAACTAAGACTTAAAGACCTGTACCTTTATTGTATGTAAAATAGGAGTAGTGACCGCTCTGAAGCAGAGGAGTGTAAAGTGCCATACACAAAAGAGCAGCACCCTTCCTTGGAGGAGGGTGCAAAATCTGGAGCCATTTACTGTGGATTTGTCCACAGTAAAAAGTCTCCAAGTATCCCTGCGTATTTTCAGCCTCTGGTGCAGTGGTTTCGCACTGCCTTTCCTTGGGAGCTCGGGGGCTGTTTCACCACGTTTGTAATGCATCCCTTGTTTTTTAAGGTCGCAAAAGATGTGTGGCTGCTGGCTTTCGCTCTGTGTCACATCCCAGCCTGTGCTTTGCTGGGGAGGTCAGTTGTGCCTTTTAATAGCGGTGGAGCGGTCTTACAAGGGTGAGTCTGTCCTCTAATACTGTGCATTGTTTTTAAAGGTTTTTTTATGACCTTTAGTATAGGCAGTAAAAGAACTTTAAAACAACACACAGTATTAGGAGTAGGGCCCCTTGAGTCCATCCAGGCTCCGTAGGTATGATGTTAAAATCAATACTTGAGGAGTCCTGGCTGATCCTTTTTTAAAATCTCAAGCCTGGAGAGGAGTGGTGTGACACAGACTCCCAAAAGCTGCTCAGTCTCCTTGTTTCATCTAAGGCAAAACTTCCAGAGTTGCTTTCGATTCAGGCTCTGAGTGTGGCGTTCTGGCACGCTTCCTATCGTTACAATTTCCCATTGGACATTCTCCTGTGATGATAGGATGAGTGACTAAACGGTTTGTCTGACTTTTACTTTGAGTTTTCTGAGTTTTTGTTGATGTTAGCGTCTGCCAGGGAGAGGAAACGGTGCTGGCTTCTGAGAACCAAATACCTTTTGAAATTGTAAATAACAAAAGATGCTCCTTAGATTCAGGACCACTGAAACATAAATAAAACTGTGTGCTCACTTAGTTGAGAAGGATTTTTCTTAAAATTCTTTCCCACGTGGAAAAAACCTCCTGCTGTAATTAGGACACTTGGCACCTGATTACAAGCTGCATTTGCAGGAGAGAAAGATAATTTCTGTGACCAGTGCTGATCCCTAACGGGCCTTGTGTGCTGCTGGGGGAGGAAGGAGGGAGGTCTAGCAAGTCTTTTTAGTCTCTGAAGTCCAACAGATGCACCTAGATCTCTCTCTGACTGCGGTGTTTGGCACAGAGGGCACAAATCTTACATTCCAGTCCCTGCTCATGTGTTTGGGTTGGAGGGGATTGCTGATTGAAACTTGCTAATGCTTCCCCCGTGCTCCTGCAGGTCTGCGTTATCTAGGACGCGATACTATCGTACACTCGGTGCAGACTGTGGATGTGAGTATTCTAGATGTTCATTTGGTTTGCAGCAGGGAAAACGCTGGTGATCTAAAAATAAAACCAATGCCATAAGCCTAAATGATGTGGAGTAATGAGGAAAAGATGGAGCCTTGTGTTCTGATCTCTGCTCATAGGGAGCCCTCTACATGGCACTGAAACCAGGGTGATGCTTTCTGTGAATGCTTTGTTTTTGGAAGAGATGATGTGTTAGGACTCACAGCGACCTTCCTCAGCTGAAGGAAGGAGCATTTCCGATGGGATGGAGGAAGAGTAACGTGAGCCTTCCTCGTTTGGTTGTGGTGGCAAAAGACAGCACATGAGAAGATGGCACAGGGCAGCCGGATCTTGGTAACCTCATGTTGCTGCTCTCCCCCATCTCCAAACCCTGTTCACGGCTTCTGGAAAGAGCTCATGCAGTGCTGCAAGAGTAGAGGAGGTAGCAGCAACCTCCTCCATCTCGGAAGATGCAGCACTGTGGCAGGAGACGAAGATATACAGGGTGAAACCGCATTAAAGGATTTTAGCCAGGGGAAATGAACAAGCAAGTAAAAAGTAGTGCATTTGGGGAGGGTTACAGGCAAGAGACTGCACTGGAGCAGGGGCAGCAAAGTGTGTGGAGCAGTTGGACTCTGAGATTTTCTGTGTGACTTGGATGGAGCATGTAACACAGCCGAGGAGATTGGCTTTGTGCAAGAGCCTTCTGTGCTGGCCAGTGCCAGGTGTAGGGGAAGCTCCTTCACGAGGAGGAGACTGGTAGGAGTAGAGGAAAATCCACGTTGTGTTTACAGGTAGTTCAGCCCCATGGCTTTGGCGTGGCTGGAACAAGCGGTGCAAGTGCTGGGTGGCTTTGGGTACAAGTGGGAGATGAGCAGCAGGGACTGTTCTCCAACTCTCCAGTTGTGCTGGGTGGATGAGAGAGGTAAAGGGGGGCTCAGGTAGTTACAAGGATATTTTAACGAGGCTACTGCCTTGTATGCAGGAAGTTGCTGTTTCCTTTCCCTTTCCTTGTTTGTTCCTGGTGTGGGAGATTAGGAAATACACCACAGAGCTGCCACTGTGCTAGCCAGACCAGTTGACTGATCTTTATTTAAAGATTTGCTTAAGTTTGAAAAGCAATTCAGTGTCAGGCAGTGCTTTGCTTTGGCCATGGCCAAGCATGGAGCAGATCCTCTGCTGTCAGCTTGAGCTCTGTCTGGATTCTGCAGCGGTTTGTGGAGCCCACAGGTGTGGGAGAGTTGGGTGTTTGCAGAGCTGAGACCAGTGCACATGTTTGTGATGAAGAAGGTGATGCAGAAATAAAATCATGTCATAGCCAAGGCTTTCAGCACTGTGCCGATTTCTCTTCAGATTGAATGTTTCCTCTGTGAGCTGACTGGAAGCTTCCTTCACAGATAACTTTGCAAATGTCTTTTAGGTGCTTGTCACAGAGTGGGAGAAGGAAACGCAGCCTGGGCTGAGAGCCCTTCCCAGTGGTACTGAAACATGCTTTGATGGCGTGAAATACTGCAGATGAACTCTTGAATCCAGCTGAACATCGTGTCTCTCTTACTGACAGCCGTTTGCCCGGAGGGCCTGGTACAGTGCTTTTTGCCAGTCTGCAGAGGAGCATTTTGAAATGCAGTCTAATACAACCTCGTGGCATTTCCTAAAATACTGCAGTGTGTCAATTCCTCATTAAACTGTAGGTGACTTGTGGGCTGGTCACATTTAGGCTGTGAATTTGAGACAGATTTTTATAAACACTCTTGTATCCACAAGATATTGTAAATATTGTAAAATGAGCCTGACCATTCTCCAGTCTTAAACATTTCAGGATCGGCAAAGGCCCCCACCTCCCCATAACCAAATACAGCACCTATACTGCCGGGCTTGTGATGATGGAGCTCATTTTACTTGGGGATGCTTCCGCATAGAGAGGATTTAGGGAGAAAAGAGTTGGGAATGGAGGGGGAAAGGGAAAAGGCGACTGAAGGGGGTATTTATCTTTGAACCTTGATACAAATAGTTGCTCCCAGGCTGCCTGGTGGCTAAAGCTGTGCCCTGCCCTTGACTTCTGTGCAGATCTCCTTGGACACAAGTCCTGTGGAATTTGGTGCTTTTCAACAGGAGCTGCACAGTCCCCTCTTTAACAGCCTTGGCTAAGTCAAGGTTTTATGGGACTCCTTTGCTGGCTGAAGTCTCAGCTTACGCAAAGCCTTCGGGAAGGGATTTAGTGGCAGGTGTGCCCCTCAGGTGAACATACCTGAACAGCTTTGGTGGAGCTGCCTGTCCGTCTGCCCTGCCTGCAGCTCGTGGGACTGCAGAGCGCTGCGGGCAGGGTTGATGTGTGACTTTTATGGGCTGTTTTATCTCAGATCCATCCCATTGCCGCTCCTCTTGTTTACTGGCAGTCAGCAGTTGGAGCAGAAATGGGATTTATTGTCTGAGCAGAGCAATCCACTGCTGCTCGTTCCTTTGACTTGGCAGCTGCTGACTGCCTCTTGTGCTGCTGTCTGCGCCCAGGTTTGACAAGCTGAGCTGTTTGGGGTCCCTATTTCCACTGGGGAGCAACCTCGCCTTTCTGATTTCTTGTTTCAGCAGCACAGAAACTGCATTGCTGCTGTATGGTCTGAATAGGGGAGCACCAGGCTCGGGTTTCTTCTTGCCAGCTACGTCCTCACAGAGCATCACAAACCTCTGCTGTGTTTGTTCGCCACTGCTTAGCGTTGAAAGCGCCGTCTCTAAGGGTTGTTTTGCTGCAATGTGTCTGGCTGGGCTGGGTCTGAAGCCTTCTCTCCTGCCATGGCTGCAGGGTTTACTAAAGACACTTGCACAGTCTTGTTAATGAAGATTTTTTTTCCAATAGTGAGGTAGGAATGTGCTGTCTGCAGTGATGACAGGGTACACGTGCCTCCAAGGAGAGCTTGCAAAACTTGCCATGCAGTTATGGAGGAACAAATGTGAGTCATTAAACATTTCCCCACATGCACTGGTTTGTTGTGTGTGTGTGATTCTTGAGCTTGTTTTGACTTGGGTGCCTTGGCAGTGATTAGGCCAAAGCTTAGTGGTTGCAAACCCCTGACTGTCATCAGGAAAGGCAGCAGAATCCCATCTGCAAACTCACCTTTACTGCGTGTCTGTCCCTGGGGTCCCTGCATTGCCTTTGCTTGACCAGCTGCCAGCTCTCTTTTTTGAAGATACTGAAGATGCCTTTGTGTTGCAGCTGTGAGTTTTAACCCAGCGGAGCTGGTGAGAGGAGCCAAATTAGAGGTTTGAGTGTCTTGGTTGCTCTGGGCTGGACGATCCCTGGGTGATGCTGCAGTTGGTACCTGAGCTGGCCTGTTACAATCTCACACATATGATTCACGATGTGGGAGTTCCCTCACCAGCCCCAGCCATGGCCAAACGTGCTGCCAGACACGCAATCAGGAGCACGTGTGTGCCAAATACGTGCCTTGTAGCCAGCTAAGCAAATATATCACGTTGCATTCGAGTATCTGTTATTGCAGCTGTCCTGGGCATGCTTTCCAGGCCAGCTTCTAGCTGTGGGCTCATAGCTGGGTCCAGCAGTTGCTGGTGGACCAGGAACATGGCAGTGCAGGGCTGTCTCACTCCTTGACTTCTGAAAAATGAATCTTTGTGACAACTGAAGTGCAAGGCTGAGTCTGTGGCAAAGGAGATGGAGAGAAACTGACTGCTGCAGGCAGGAGAGCGGGGGAAATCCAGCAACAGATGCGGGCTCTATTTAGGGTTAGTTGATTTGCACAATTTTGGGGTGTGTCCAGGTAAATAGGGTATGCGTGCAGACAGGAAGCTACCACTGTAATTGATGTGTCGAACAAAGGTATTTTGCAGGCATAAACTGTTTCCTAATGCAGTGCATGGGCACAGCCACTGAGCAGACCCCAGACAAAAGGAGGGATTTGCCCAGTGCTCCATCCACCTGAGTTGCAGCCACACACCCCTCTCAGCTGAGGCTCATGGTTAAAGCACACGTGGCTCTAAACACTTACTAATGGATCACTTGTCAGTACAGTTAAATACGGAAGTGTCACCTGAGGGAAAACTCTGCCTTTTGGAGCCTTTTAAAATGCTCTTCGAAGTTAGTCTTTATTATATAAAAGAGATTTTTTTTTTTTTAAAAAAAGGGGGTGACTGTAATCTTTGTTGTGATCAGTGTTGTAGGTTTGACATTTGAGAAGAGGAAGGAGTAATTTGAAAAAAAAAATCAGAACTTTTTAAAAGTTAAAATCTCTTCAATCAGCTGGGTTATTTCAGAAGGAAGGTTTGCGAGGGAAAAAAGATGTGGGAGTCAAAGTGACTCATTTGCCAATAATCAAGTCTGAGTACATTGTTAATGTTCAGTTCCACAGCAGATCCACCTCAGATGGCCTTGCACAGGCCAAGCAAGTTGTTCTTTGCAGGAGACACTGTCTCTGGTTGATCATACGGACACTGGCTCTTCTAAGTGCAGTGTTGACCTGCTGCAGATCAGTGTGTCCTGGGGACCTCGGGGGCATGGAAACACCCAGGGAAGGGGAGGACGTGTAGTTCTGCAGCCTGGCTGGTGCACTCAGCTCGCTGTTAAGGAATGTGGTGGTCTGTTGGTGTGTAGTGGTTGGTCTGGTCTCTGCTTTGGATCATGAACTGTTGGGTTCTTCCATTTTTAATTTCATTTGTTTTCTCTCCAGGCGTCTCGGTGCTGAGCTGGGGAAATCTGTGGTGTACCAGGAAACCAATGGAGGTAAGAGAACTCTTTACTACTCGCAAACCTGTTTTCAGGTAATCTTAGAAATACTGGGTAGCTCCACTGGCCAAACCCATCTTCTAAAGTGATCCAGCTGTGACGTTACTGCTGCTCCTGACAGTGCTGAACCACTGCGTCTGACTTTGGACAAAGCAATTAAATGTGGTCCCTGTTATCTCGTTTGTCTAACTCATTTTGTCAGCTAACTCTCATCTAAAGGAGAGTCCTACCTTGAGAGTTAGCTGCTACATAATCTTACACGCTCTTGTGCTTAACAGAACGTCTCCCAAGTTTAAAATGAATGGTCTGCTTTCAAAGTCTGCTTTGCAAACTTTTAAATTATCCCCTTCTCCCAGCTCTCCCTGCCACGGGCAGCTTACAGCTGCCCCAGCAAGGACCTGTCCTCTTGCTTTAAAGAGTGCAACTTCAGGGCTGTGCTGAGGACCGTGCCTCTTGGAGCTTGCTTCCATGTCTGTAAATGTAGCAAGTGTCCGTTTTCAGGTGCTGGGCTAAAACACAAGGATATTGGCTAACAGTCATTTACTGTTTCAAGATCTGAGTTGCCTTATTTGCAAGAAAGACTAGAACCTGAGAGAGCTGATACAGGCGAGAGAAGGGGATGGAAACGGCGCTGGCTTGGCATGAGGGTTTTTGACAGTGCTGCCACTCTTACAGCCAGAGCGGGCCGAGCGATGTGTAAGCTGTTGTGGCTGTGTGGTTGTGGCTGTGTGCTGTGGCTGGGTTGGTTGTTGCGTTCATGCTGGTGAGAGCTCGCTGCCCTTTGGAGTTAGTTTTAAATCAGATTGCTTGCTACAAGGTCTGAAGCCATTCTTCATCGCTGCGCAGAAAATCAGTGCTTTCAGCAGAGTCCCTTAGGTTAATGGCAGTGCCCAGGCAATTCGACTTTGAATCTGGTAGCTGGGCAGATCTTTCTCTCATTTAGCCCTGCCCTCTAGTTCACAACTGTGTGGGAAATGAGTAGCTAAGATGGGTACCTCGGGAAACCTGATGTCATTGCTCTGGCTTTGCTGCTTTGGGGCTCGGCTTTTGCATTTGAACCTGGAACTGTAGGAATTGTGTTCAGCAGAGACCTAGGTTTCCAGCTTGTGTCAGTGTTGAAATGTCTCAACCTTGGTAGTGAAGCTGGAGGGTTCTCCCATTGAACTCTGTGCTGCTGGGGTTGCATTTGGCTATCCAGCCTGTACAGAGCTGCCCCCCTGGTAAGCTGCAAAAGAGCCAAGTTACCTTCTTAGTAAGTACTGAATGTGTTTCTGCTTTGGGTAGTTCATTGTTCACTAATGAATGTGGTATTGACAGCTTTCAGCACTCAGCATGGAGAAGTGAAAAGGATCTCTCATTGAGAGTTAGGTAATTGTCTTCTCCATGTAAGAGAACAGCCATTCAGCCTGGTTTTGCACTGTAAATACAACTCATTGGTTTGTTGTGCCAGCTCTTTACTTCCCTGGACCAGCCTTTGGAAAATCCACTAGTCTCAGCTGCATGTGTGTAGTGGGTGTATGTGCACACAGAGCAAAGCAAGTCCTCATCTGCCCTGGCCAGTGGGCAAAGTTGCTGCTAAAACTTGATGTGTTATCACTGTAAATGTGATGTAAACAAACATTTTTTGGAAACAAATCTGACTGTGTTTTCAATCCTCTCCAGAAACAAGAGTTGAAATCAAAGAGTCTGTCCGTGGACAGGATATCTTCATCATACAGACAATCCCCAGGTAAGGGACTTGTGGCTCAGTTTTACAGCTGTGAGATGCTTTGAGTTTCTGGTTCAGCAAACTGTTCAATAGGTTTGCTTTGTGTTAGCCAGTGTGATAACCACTCTCTTTCCAGTGTTGTCATTGCGTTTAAGATACCACATAGTGTTAAGCTGTTAAAATTCCCAGAGGATCGCTTACACCACAGCAGACTGAGAAGCTTCCCATCAAATAGCTTACATGTCACCTGAGGCAAGAACAAGTATGACTGATGGCTTCAAGTGAAGCATCCCTGGTCTGCGTGCTGGTGATTTCTGACTGGCATTTCCATTTCAAGATGTGTAATTTCCTCTGCCTTCCAATTACCAAGCAGCAGCGCCAGCAACAAACGGCAGCTGTTGGTTTTGTTATAGGCTGGGTTACTCTTCCCCTTTTACTGTAGTGATATGAAACTGAACTCAGGTGGAAACTTGTAGCTTCCCTCCTGTACTTTTATAGTTCTTACTGATGTTGGGCCTGTTCTTAACTGGGCCTGTTTGTTTTTTCTATTTTTATGCCATTCTAGCATTCGTGTAAGAGTAAAACAAAGTTCTGCAAGTAACCAAGGGCCTAGAAAACCAGCTGCTAACCCCAGCAGCCTGGCCCTTTGCTGGCTGAGGAAGAGTGTAGAGAGATCATATTGGTATGGAAAAGCTAGCAGAAGGTGGGAGGGAGACTGTATACAAATGATAACTGCAAGAAGACCAGCTATGAGCAGGGGAGGGGCTGGTTTAGAGATAAGGTATTGATAGCGTGCCTTTTGCACAGTTAGAGAAACAAGGATATTTCTGCGCTGATAGCTTTTTCCACATTACCAAATTCTGCTCAGATCTTGGAGATCGTAAGTACCAGAGCTCAAGCAGGTAGCAGAATACCCTTGAAACAGAATGTTTCCTTGCTTGTCAAAGAAATAGAGCCCAGTGAGAATTCAAGTGCATTTCCTTTTTGTAATGCTTGGCCTGTTATTAGAGAGGTCAGTAGGACTACAAGACCAGCTCGCTCACTCCTAGAGTTCCTCTTGCAGGCTGAGACATTTTCCTAGATTTCACCTCTCTCCAAAGAGATGGTCCAAGTGTTTCCTCCCTCAGGGAGCAACTAAATCTCTGCGAGATCAAAATCCACTGATGCAGGATTATGTTTCGGGTGAATAGTGCCATTCTGTTCTCCCTCCTGAGAGAGTTCTCTGAAATAACTTGTAACTGAGAGCTGTGTAAACATTAAACGGGTACGGTGTTCAGAGAGAGAGAACTAGCATTAGGGACAGCAGTAGTTTTGGGAGGGGAAAACCTCCCCCTGCTTTTGATTTGTTGATCCCCTTGTTTTTCCATAAACTGAATTCAATGTTATGGGGCAAGAAATTGATCCTTTTTAGCCAAAAAGTTCAAGACTCTCCAGGTGAGGAGCCACCATGGTGCAACTTAGTCACTTTTTATTCTTTAGCTGCAGCTGTGCCTTGCTGCATTGCTTGAGAGGACAGGTTCAAGGGCATCTCAATTTTGCAGTGGGTTTCAGGGAGCTTTCCAGGAGAGTAAAAACAACTGTGTTGAATAATCTGAGAGTATGACTTCTGCATTCAGTAGCTGTTTGAAAAGGAAACAGAATATTAGGATTTAATAGGAGAGGAGTAGAGGGGGGAAACAACCTTGTTTTGCTGCAGTGTGAATTTACAGTCTGCGTCTTAAAGGCACAGAGAGAGAACAGAAAGACCTGAATATTTGAAACAAGCTCCCTGTCCAAAAAGCATACAGCAGAACTAAAATAGTTGTAAAAACAGGTATCATCCAAGACTGTTGGTGTATGGACTAGCATTTGTATGAGGGGAAAACCAAACAACTCATGTGTAGACTGCAGAAGAACGAAAGAGTTGGTGATAAAGTGATGTACTAAAAGTGAAGGGAGTCTCTTAGTGCTGAGTGTTGGTCTCAGCCCCAAGAACAGGGATCTCCAGGGACGGCTCAAGCGGGGATGGGGAGCAGCGAGGGCGGCTCCAGGCTGCTGGAGGGGGTGGTAAGTAGGGCGTGGGGGACGGTTGAGCTGTAATGTCCTGGTAATGAGCTGACAGTCCCCGTGTGTGGTCTTGGCTCAGGCTCTCCAGCAGCAACTGCGAGCACAGCTTCAAGGCAGGGTGTGGGAGGGCAGCAGGGAGGCTGGGGTGCTCTCCTGAGTACCTGTTTTGGAGATGCTGTGGCTGGGCTTCTACCACAGATGTCCCCCCAGCCCACCCACCCTGGGCTCTGCTGGATGGACAGGCACATCTGCTTCTGCACAGTGCCTGTGCTGGCTGGTCTGCAGGAGCTTCCTGGAGTCCAGCGTGGGGTCCTGTGTGAATATTGAGAGGTGCTCCACCACCAGTAAATTCTCCATCCATGTGGCTAGCAGTGTCCCACGGCAGCACCAGGACTGCTGGTGCTTTTTGAAATCACTGGTAATCCTCTCTTCCAGGAGCAGTCTTATTCTCGGATCGGCTTTCCATGTGAATACATATATTAAAAAAAAATAATTTGAAAAATAATTATGAGAAATACTGAATTTCTTGGGTGACCTTTAGATAGGCTTAAGCTTGGCCACTTTGTCTTTATACAACACTGATAGTAGCATCTTCTCCTCCTGTGGCCCCACTGGCACAGCTAAAACACCGAAGGGAAGAAGCGGTTCTTTGTTTGCTCGTTGTCCTACATGGCAGGGGACTGTGTTTTATGTAATTCTTGGCTGGGCGCTTCAGAGCTATAACAAAGCTTTCCTGTGTGTACATGGCATTGTGCACGAGGGCTGGAGGGGCTGGGGGGAGAACAGAGACCCAGAGCCTTGCAAATGAAGAGGCACGAATGGAGGTTGATTTCTGAAGGAAGGGGGAGCAATGGAGAAATGATTGGAGGTTTGTCACGGGTCACACACAAACGGAGACTCAGGAATTGACATCTGGGAGCTCCTGGGGAGGCCATCCCCACAGTGAGGAAAATGGGTCTTCCAGTGACGCCTGGGTAACATCCAAACAGCTCTGCAGAGTTTTCAGCTGCTCTGTGCTGTTTATTCCTCTGGTGCTGCATGGAAATACGGCCCTGTCAGCTCCTGCTCCGTCACTGTGGGCTTCATGGCTGAGCCACCCCTGGCATTGTCCTCCTGGGGACCAGTCTAGGGAGATGGTGTGTCATTTGAGGCTGTCCATGCTGAAAACTCCCAGGCGGGGTTGTCTGTGCTGTGGGAGGGTTGCCTGTCCCTCTGTCTTCTCTGAAGTGCTTGTTCTTCAGTTTCAAAATAGTCTTGAGTCTGTTTCTGATAATGCAGGCAGTGTCTCTTGGTGTTGGTTTTAAGGAACTAAATAATTTGACTATTTTTTCCTTTCCCAAAACAAATTAAAATGCCGATTAATACATTCAGACATCATGGTGAAGCTAACTGAAAATAAGGGTTTACACGTATTCCTTGCTGTGGTCTATGGATCTCTTCTGCCTACATTGTTTTTTTATTTTGTTTTCTTTCAAGTAAAAGTCATTTGGTATTTACTCTGCTGTTGCTACCATCATCTCTAGATAAGTTAGATACTGTGGAGGTGCTGACCTCCACCAAAAGTGATGTGTCTGGACTTTGTACTGCTCCAGAATGCAGTATTTCTTAAGGTGGAAAAAATAACCTACCTCACAGTGTTAAAAATAAAAATACCATAATAAATCCAGTGTGGATGAGGTTGTGTTGGCTGTGTGTATGCTGCTGCTTTAGAAGACTCTTTTGTTTCAAAGTGCACTGTATGAAGTGACACTTGTTCCAGCATAAATGAAAAAAATTTTGTTGCTGTTGTGTTGATGAAGGGAAAATCATACACCTCATGTTAGAACAGAAAATCAAATTCCAGTCCACAGCTCTTGAGTGCTGGAGTCTTGTCCTGTGCACGTAACAGATGACTGTGATGTGCTGTGGTGTGATGGAAGGAGCTACACGGTTACATCTGGGACTTGAACACGTTAGCGCAAGATGTAGCATTATTTGCTTGAAAGTTTGGTGAAGAGAGGTATGGGTATAAAAGGAAAAGGAGTTGCACTGAAGAAACGCCTTCTAATATTTGGAATGGTTTTCATATCTCCTAGAGATGTGAACACTGCTGTCATGGAGCTGCTGATAATGGCGTATGCACTGAAGACGTCCTGTGCCAGGAACATCATTGGGGTCATCCCGTACTTCCCCTACAGCAAGCAGAGCAAAATGAGGAAGAGGGGCTCCATAGTCTGCAAGCTGCTGGCTTCGATGCTCGCCAAGGCAGGTGAGTGTCACAGGAGATGCAACATCAGAGGCTTGGACACTGCAGCGCATCCCAGAGGATGTCTCTCCTTCCGTTCTTCTGCTCGATGTGAGGACTTGCTGCCAAGCCCTGGAGCCGCTTTGGGGAAATTCGTTTTCTTCAGCTTAATTTTATTTCTTTGTAACTTGTACCTGGGGAAGTGGCCTAGAAGTGTCATGTTGAAATATGCTGTCAGCCCAGTGCTGTGACTTATTGTGTGCCTGTTTCTTAGTATGTCTTTGAATTGTTAACCTGTTCATGCTTACTTTATCACATGACATAATAGTCTGAGTAACAGCTAAAATAGTCTGGAAAATGGAGATATTTGAGGATCTCCAGCCATGTGGGAGTCATCTCAATGAATTATCTTTTTTTTTTTTTTTTTCTCCCTTAGGTTTAACACACATTATCACTATGGACCTTCATCAAAAGGAAATTCAGGGCTTCTTCAGCTTCCCAGTAGACAACCTGAGAGCATCCCCTTTCTTGCTCCAGTATATACAGGAAGAAGTGAGGTTACTCTAGTTCTGTATATATCAGCTCGTCTTAACTCAACGTGTTAGCAGCATTGGGCCTCTGCTTGCGCAGAGGTTGTGTTGTCAGGCTAGGTCAATCACTGTTCATTAATTCCTTCATAGGGGGTACCTACTGCATGTTTCTTAGGGAAGTGGGAAAATGCTATATTGTGTGATTGTAGCTGGATAGAAATTGAACTCTTGACCGTAAGCAGAAGATAAGCTTGCTCTCTCTATAGAGTTAGTACCTTTTGGTAGATTCTGTTTATGCCTCTGCCTCTAATCACCTTTTAAATCCTGTTAAACTGCCTCCCCTTGCCCTTTGTTCTGCCGTGGTTGTCTTGCCTGCTCTGAATTATTGATAGACTTTGTCATGGGCTGAGCAGAGGAATGCTGAGCACAGCAGGGCTGGGGAAGGGCATGGAGGTTTTTTCTTTTCCACATGCAAAAGACGATGATTTGTGCCCACATGGTGAGAGCAAGGCTTCCCCATGTGGGGAGAGCGGGCATGGGGTTCAGACCTTCCCCTGCAGACAGAAGTAACTGCAGCTGGTGCCTGCAGGGTAGGTTAAACATTGTGTTCCCACCTTTGCCTGTTTTGAAGGGGAGTGGGTGTAATTCTTCAGCCATGTATCAAATCAGTTACTCCCTAGCAAGAAGGTCTTTACTTAACTAACTTCTTATCGCATTCAGATTCCAGATTACAGAAACGCGGTTATTGTAGCCAAATCTCCTGATGCAGCTAAAAGGTAAATAGCTTCTTTACTAGCTGGTTAAAAGTAACTTGGAAAAGATCTGGGCTGATGGGAAGTACACCAGGAAAAATATGGGAGGGTTAGAAATGGAACAGCAATGTGGTCCATATATCCTTTGTGGCTGGAAATGGGATGGGCATCTGTAGTGGTGCAGATGGGCAGCTGAATTTTGCAGTCCCAACTCTGTTGAAGTAAACTCTGGCATTCCCTGCTGCTGCAGAGGTAGGTGGTTCACCTGGGGCTAGGATCAGACTTGCTGCATGAGTTTGAGCAGTGCCTGACCATCTCAGAAAGCGTTTAGCGTAGGGAGGAACACCAGGAGACCTCTGTGGTGGAGTCAGGGAGTAGAGTGGGCTTTGGGATATTAAGGAAGAATCAAAAGTCTCTTCCAGTAAAGTTTCTTGCTAGGGAACAGCCACAGCAGTGCAGCCATTGCTTGCCCGGTTGAACTTGATGATCTTAAAGGTCTTTTCTGACCAGATGATTCTGTGATCTGGGAGAGGCCTGCTGCACTGGGCTGTGAAGTTGCATCGACATACTCCTGACATGCTGTGGTTGTCCTGCAGGGCTCAGTCTTATGCAGAGAGACTACGGCTCGGACTAGCAGTCATCCACGGAGAGGCTCAGTGCACAGAGCAGGACATGGATGATGGACGTCACTCCCCGCCGATGGTCAAAAATGCCACTGTGCATCCTGGTCTGGAGCTGCCATGTAAGATTAAGCTTCTCTGCTTATTTTGGCAGGGGGGAAGAAAAGTTTGGTGGGAAATTGCTGTTGGTGTAGCTGTGTAGGTATAAACAACATAATGGCTGTTGGACCAGTGGAATTTTTCTCATGGAAATATCGCTATCAGCGAGCTGTAGGAGAGTGTACAGAGGAAGGTTTTTGTTTAAGTCTTTCTGGCCATGTAGAGAATGAGCGTCATTCCCCTTGGCTGTACCTGCTCAACAGTGTTGGACTGACAAACCTCTGCTAGAAGCAGTGCTTTTAAAGTGCCTGGCAGCAAAACTCATTAAGATACTGAAACAGAAAAGAAATGCAGAAGTGTAACTAGTGTGGGAATAGGCACTGAGACAAGCTGCTGGCCCCAGCATGGAGGAGAGGGCTGTCCTTTTTTCTTCCCCTGCTGCTGAAGCCACTGTTACTGCTGGAAAATTACATCTTTGGGGCCAGGAGATCATGTTCCAGTGTCTATTTTGACAAGGTTTTGAGGCTGAATAGGTGAATAGGTTCTCGGAGAGCATGTCCGAGCTTCTTCCTGTGTCATCAATTGATAAGCTGCTGGTTTGAGACCACAGAGCAAAGAAAAAAGGAAGAAGCCTGTCTTGTGGGAAATGCTGTCCTCTTAGGTTTGCTCGTATTCCTGCAACAGCAGCAGTCAAGCAACAACAGTACAATCAAAATCCATCTTCCTTTTGGGAGGATTTTAGCTTTCTAGGTAGATGGTGGTAGAACAGAAATTATGAGCACTGAAAACTGACCGTGGGAAAGAATTCATGTTGCTGGATGTGGTAAGGAGTTATCATGCAGCCAAACTTAATTATGCTGGCAGTGGCATGGGCTACTGATAAGCGTCTCCTATTGTCTTTTGAAGTTGAGGGAGAACTTTCAACCAGTTTGTGGGCAGCTGGGGGAGTGCAAGTAAGATTGCAGGTGGTTTACGTTACCCAACTCATCACTTATTATAATACAATCAGCTAAACTGCTTATGTTGCTGCTGAAACTCCTCCTGGGCCTTGGGGGACAGGTGGGGTTTGGCAATGAAGTCTGGGACTTCATCTTGATTGTCCCCCTTCTGACAAGGGGATTTTTTTCATGCTTTTCCAACAAAACAGGAATTTGCTTGCTCTACTCTTGGCCTTTTCCTTCCCATCCTACTCTGAAGAGGATGCTGTCCTCCAAAATACCACCAGCTGACATTTGTCTGCTACCAGGGCATTGATGTGACTGTATTTTTATTTCCAACCGTGTCACTTCAAGAAAGCTTAACCATGGCAGCTTGTGGTGCCGAAGGGCCCTGTAAATGGTAGCTCATACAGAAATGTGCCCTTGTCCAGTTTAGAAATTATTCCAGTGGCACATCATTGTCAGTCCTAAGCTAACCAAACACAAACTAATTTGCTGTACATCACCACATTCTTATTTTATCTCCCACTGAAACTCAGCGCTTGACCTTGCACTCCTACGTGCCTTGTGTAGAACAGTCTTGTGGCTTGGTAGCTTTCTGTCAGGGCTGTGATGTGGAGTGGGTTATGGGGTGGGCCTGTCCAGAACTCTCAACAGAAAGTTGCTTTTCTCTCCAGACTTCTAATCTTAATAGATACCTGGTTTTTAGTGAGCTGGGCTCTGTTACCAGAGGTGCTGAACACTGAGGTAATACCAGTCTGAATGCAGTCTGTAAAGTTCTAGTGCATCCTGGTTGTGTCGCAGTCTCTGACATGGAGCTGTGCTCTGCCAGAGGTGAAAGGGCAGCTAGGGTTAGGGATGGCCATGTCTGTACTGTGGGTCTGTACTTACTCTCTCTGCTACACCTCCTTTCTGGTCTGATTCAGTTGTTTGAAAAGTGTCTTCTCACCTCAAGTGACTCATCAGACAAAACCGTGATCAGCTCTTCCTGCTGTGCATAGCATCCAGCAACCCTGGGGTTGTAAGGTCTGATGGCAGAGTGAAGCAGGGCTCAGCTATGTCCCTGTGTCGTTGTTTGGGAAAGGTAGGACACACACTATTCACCTAGAGCTGTACGCTTCCTTACACCAAAACTGCCCAGAAAAACCTCTGATGGTTGAAACAGAACCAGTCTCCAGGTCTGCCTGGCTCAGTTACCCCTTACTGTCTGGGCAGTTAGAAAGTGGGGGTGCTCCTGGGGGTGTCTGGGGCTAACCATGGAGCATCCTGCTCAAGGCTACAACCAGATCCGTGTGGAGCATCCTGTCTTCCTTCCCTAGACTCTAGTCCAGAGTCCCCAGAAGTTGTGTTACAGCCAGAATAGAGGTGAAACCTGTGTTTTGGAGCAGCCTCAGAGCCCCACAGCAGTGATTTATGATTTATACAATTTTTTCTGGGCTTCCTAGTGAATTGGCTGGACTCCTGTGTCCTGGCATGCACCTTTTTTCTTTTTCTAGTAGACAGCAAGTGCCTTTAATTAATGAGTGCTATGCAGTGTGATTGCTTATTTATTGTCCTAATAGTGTGGCCTGATGCCATACTCTGATTTGGTGGCATATGGAGCCATAACAGAAAAATGCCAAAGGTGTCTCCAATTGCACTTCTTAAAGTGCAAAGCAATGGCTCATGTCACTCAAAACCAGAAATCGGAGCCTTTGAGACAGGATGTCACTCCGAGGTTATTCTCTTTGATTGTGTGCTCTTTGTGTCTCAAAGCTTGCAGCTGGCTCGGGGCTGTGCTTTAACAAATGCATGTGGACTCTTTGCATGTTTCCTCATCCTGGAGAAAAGGAGTGGAGCACCATCTGTTAAATCATTTCCGTGGCTTTGAAATTCAGTGCCTTATACAGATAGCTCATAGTCTGTTGCGTACCCAGAGCCCAGCAAACTGCCGTGAAGGAAGCGTTTGGGTGAAAAACCAGAGTGACAGTAGGTCTGTTCCTGCTTCCCCACCCCATCTCTTTCCTGTGCTTAGGCTGGGCTTGGCGATGTTTTCTGTCCTTCCAGGTTTATCTCTTCACAGATCAGTTTGTGCTTGAGCAATCCTTTGCTCGTAGACTCTGTTGTAAATGCAGCATTATTTTACTTGGCGATTATCACTTTAGTGCACACTGTCAGCTCCAAACACAATTTGTTTTAGCATTTCTTAACTCATTTTTGAGCGCTTGATTAAAGCAACAGGTTTGTGCACCTGTGAATGCTGTTTCTTCATGCCAGTGATATCTCATCTTTAATGTGTGGTACTTTGGCGTACATTCTTCACATCATGATGAAAGTGCAGGTTAGAGTGTTTGGCTGATGAACTTATTTCCCCACCACCCCTCAGTGTTTTTATATACTTGTTTTATAAAAATGGTGGTTAGTTTGTTTTTTTCTCTTTTTTTTTATTTTTTCCCCTCAGAAGCTACAGATACCCCAGTCATCTTTTCTGACTCTCCAGGAAAGAAACACAGCAGCTCTTTTAGCCGAAGCTCATACATAATCCATGGGGTTATGCTAGGCAGAAGTATATCTGTGGCTTACTTCTGTTGCCCTCTTTTGTCTACACACAAATAGAAGTTTTGTGTCTGGGTGGAATGTATGCTTTATTATTTGAATAATTTTTCAAGCCGCCTTCTTGTAGCAGTTCTGGCTTGCACGTCTTAATATGTCCCAAGATTTTGAAGAAAGAGAAACTCGCCACAATAACCCTTGTATAAGTTCTTATTACGTTGGAGCCATCAAAGTTCTCTTGCGATTTGATGTGGTTGTGGGTAGATCTTTGGCTTGCAATTTTTTTTTCTTTTCTTTGCAGAGGAAATTGAACACGAAAAAGGGAGAACATCTCTTTAGGATCCGGGTAGGTCTACGTATTGCCTACCATACTTTAAAAATAAAGCAAACTTGCAATACAGCATTTAAAAGCAGACAAGAGATGTGAAGCACTGCTCATGTAGCTGACTGCTGTGTTAGCCTTTGAGCATAGCAAGGAATGTGTCTGCTTCCTTTGTGGAATGGGAGGATACTGATTTGCTTGAAACTTCATGTGTTTGCCAGTAAAATAGTGCTGAATTTCAGCTTCCTAAGGTCTGTTCATCATTGCCTAGAAAAGAGTTTTCCCTAACCTGGCTGTTGTAAACAGAAATGATACTCATTTGTGGATGCCCACGAAGGATGGGCTGGCAGCCAGATGTAATCCTTTTGGTATTTCACAACTCCCACCAGGAGTTTTGTTACTGTCCAAGCTAGATAATAAACTAATAACTAATCTAAGCTGGTAGGTAGTGCCTGTAATTGAAATGTAAGGTCTGCTTTTCTTCTGTGATGCTTTATCCTAGTTCATTACAAGTACTCTTCCTTCTCATAAGAATATGTTCCCTTTAACATTTAGATGTGACTTTGCATTTGATAGGAGACAGAGAAATAACAATGCAAGGGAGACTGGGGGATCTGCGCTTTGAAGAGCAATTAACTGTTAAAAACAAGGTAGCTGTGAATTTAACTGCAAAACCTAGCAATGTAGCTTTGGTCAAAACAGAACTGTTGGACACCTTTTATACAGTTTTGTTAGGCTTATGGAAAACCAGTCTGGAGGGTATGTTCTGTGTGTGAAAACAGCTTTACACATCAGTGTTTAGAGCCGTGGTCCTTGTAATTGCACTTATCGCATCCCTCAGTGTGACTCACCCAGCTGTGCTTGCACTCTAAGCATTCCCAGGCACTGATGAGCTGTGAGGATAGCACTGGATCAGCCTGCTGTGCAGGATGGGGAGTTTCACATAGGACTTTTTTGACCCAGGAAGGCAGAAATCAATGTTCAGAAAACCTTTTAGATGGGTTTCCATATGGAAGTAGGTTATCTTAAAGGAGAAAAATCTTGCTGTCTCCAGGGTGTCCAAAACTGCTTGGCATTTGTGAAGTATCCATGGCCAGAATACTGGCAAGACCTGAGCTTACAAAAAGGAGGGGTACAAAGGGCCTCAGTAGTACACTTTGCTGCACTCCCTGTATAAAGCATAAAATCTGGGGTGGGGGGGAGGGTACAGGTGTGCCAGGTAAGTGTTACAAAATGCTGGATGTGCCTCTTTGCTTCAGTGGTCGGATCAGCCCAGGTTATCACCTACTGACAGCTGGATGCCCACTACTGTGTCCTTTCCGTGCTAGTTTTTGTACCACATTCACTGTAGAAACCAGCACCCTCCGGCAAGTAAAAGATTTGGCTTATGGACAGCAAGTCCCTGGCCAGCATCAGAGGCTGATTGCTGTTTGATGCGTTGTCTGTGAAGGCTGTGTTACATCTGGACACACTCGGTGCATCCTAGGTCATATCTCTGTTATTTTTTAATACTGCTGCTGGAAGTTTTTCAGGACTTTTCAGGATAAGGCCTGTTGCAGGTGTAGTTTTAGCATGAGCCGTGTCAGTGCAAAAGCAGAGCCAGAAGGGAGTGGAACCTTGTTTCCTGGTTCATCTCTTGACCATGTGTGAGATAGCACAGCTCCTCAATATATACTTTTACTTCTAATTGCTGCTTGTCCTGAGCTTGTAGGACTGAATTTGAACTGGATTTTGTCCTGCTCTTTCAGTTAATACACTTTTTAAAAGATTCACTAAACTTTGCTTCTGCAGACTTCCTTAAGCTTTCTTTGCTTGAGCAGGTATTATTAAGGTCCTTACACTCTCTGAAAGATCCTTGTGTGTTCGATGTGAGCAAAAGCAAGCAAGCTGCAGTGTGAGTCTCAAATCCTTCAGATGAATTAGTGAGTCCAGCAGGTGAAACATTTCATGTTTATTATTCCCAGTCATGAGACACCCTCTTTTTCAAGTCCTGTTCTGGAGCACAGAGGAAGTCACTGACATTTCCCATAAACTAGGTAATGTAAAGCACGTGTCTCTATCTGTGCAACAATAAAAGACAGTTAAGGACTGAGCCTCTTGTGTGGTGGAGCTATTGCAGTTTGATGCAAGGCTAACTGACCTGGGCTTTATTTTTCACCTTCTTTAGTGATGATGGCCAAGGAGAAGCCGCCAATAACTGTGGTTGGAGACGTTGGAGGAAGGATTGCCATCATTGTGGTATGAGTCTGATGGGGGGCACTTTCTCCCAGTATCTTTTCTTGAGCTGCTTTATCCCAGAGGGTAGGAGGGACGTGATTGTTATCACTGTTTTCTCCAGTTTTGCTGGTGGCTTTGGTTATTTCGGCTTTCTGTTGAAAACCCTTTGTACTTCAGTGCTTTAAGCCCTGAAACTTTCTTGCTGCCTTCAATCTACAAATGTCAGATGTTTGCAAATACCTAACAAATCCAGGACACGCAGAGAAATCTCCTGAAGCATTTGAAAAAACACCAATCAACCAACCAAAAAGAACTTGCTGAGCTTCTTATAGTTGCTGTGCCATGCTGCACTGTAAGTAATCAACGTGCAGCTCCTATCACCATGAAAAAACCCACCTTGCTGAAGTTAAGCTCTGTTTGAATATGTGCACATGCAGGGACTAATTTTGTTTTCAAGACAGTAGTTTTTTTGCACACTAGCAAAAGGGTCTGTAAATTAGGGAAGTGGTGTTCACAGATATAAGTTGTGCACGTGGCTGTTCTTGCGTCTCAACAGCAGCCGAAGTAGCCAGGGATTATTTTTTTTCAGCTGTGTGCATGGCCAAAGCTGCAGTACCTTGCAGATCCACTCCTGCCCTGCAGGCATGGTAAACTTCTGATTTTGATGCTATTTCTGTTTCTTCTCAGGATGATATCATCGATGATGTGGAAAGCTTTGTAGCTGCTGCAGAGATCCTGAAAGAACGCGGAGCCTACAAGATTTTTGTGATGGCCACTCATGGGCTCCTGTCTGCAGATGCCCCCCGTCTCATAGAGGAATCCTCCATCGATGAGGTGCGTCTGCTTTCTGAACTGTGGAGGAAGGCTGACTTTAGTGTGTGATTAATAGTTGTTCAGACCAGATCTGCCTCTCTGGGTGTATCTGTATCTGTCCCTAATGCACAGATACTGGTTATCTCTGTCTGGATGCTTCTTTCCCCTACCACAGCTGGGTGTGTGTAACCGCTTTCCCACTGTACAGACCTTTTGCCTGTCCCTCTCCCCCAGCTGATACTGGCCTGTTGGGTGCATGAAGAGGATAAGATCTCAAACCTCACCCTTAGTAACAAACATGTCAGATCCTGTGATCTAAAAGGACCTGTCGGCCTGTGCAGAGCTGGCTGTTGTAGAGTGCTGGTTATGCCAGTACTCTCAACAAATTGTCATGTAGGGAACACCATTTATTTTAATCTTTTTTCAAACATACAAGGATTTCTCCCCCAACTGTGAACCAGCAGGTACACACTACTTGTGGAGTTAATCTAGGACAGCTGCTCAGTAAGATTGGCACAACGACAGTATCAGCGGCACAACTAATGGTCTTTTTTTTCTGGCACTCCATAGGTGGTAGTAACCAACACAGTTCCTCACGAGGTACAGAAGCTGCAGTGCCCCAAGATAAAGACTGTGGATATCAGTTTGATCCTCTCTGAAGCCATCCGACGAATCCACAATGGCGAGTCCATGGCGTACCTCTTTCGCAACATCACCGTTGATGACTAGACCCGGTGGTCTCTCTGTCCTGGCTTCCACAAGAGAAAGAAATATGCATGAAAAGGCAATACCATAAATTATAGGCATAACACAACTGTTTATTCTTGTAGGAGGGTGAAAGTTTTCAGGGTCTTGAGCCATGAGATCTAATAGAAAAAAAATCAACCTGACCAGCACTTTACAGGTGAATAGAAGAGGCCACTGGCAACAGGGAGGGTTGCATCTTAATTGAGAGAGATGGAGAAATGAGATGGTGTTGAATTTTTAAGTTCCTTTAATTTTTTTTTTAGTGTGTTATCCCTTGCCCTGTAGGGGAGGGAAAGAAAAGCAAAAAAGAAGGAGCTGTCAGCTTGTGAGAAGGGAATAGAGACGGCTCACTGCTGCATGTGGGCAGTGAGAGGAGACAGCTTTTGGGTGTCTGGTTCTGACTGTGACTTGCCTGAGAGCACAGGAGGGAGTGCTTCACTCTGGCACTTGGGCTGGGCTGCTTGCTGCTGCCAGAGCTGATCCACAGAGCAGCCCTTTGCCAGTTGAGGAGCCTATCACCTCTTGCACAGCGGAGCAAGGACTTTCATCAAAACTAAGTTAGCAGAACATCCAGAAAGGGCAGCTTAGGGCAACCTGTTCACAGGGCTGCTTGCATCCTTGTGTCAGGGTGCTGGGAACAAGCTCACGTGTGTCTCCCAGCAGGGCAAGGGATGCTTAGTAATGTGCTGGCCTTTTCATTTTGCAAGCCTTGGATCATTAGTGTTCTTCAGTGGGAAGTCACACGAAGGTCTGCCTCCTCACTTGAACACTTGTCTGCACTGCAAAACCAGGCACAGTTTCTGGAGTTGCCTGGGACTGATGAGTTGAGGCAGAGTCTCATGGGGAAGGAGACTTGGAACATTATCTGCCTCTAATGCAGCTGTGCTCTCCAAAACACTAACACTGACCTGCAATAAAAAACATAGGATTTTTCATTTTTGGTGCTTCTTGTGAACACTGCGCCCTCTGAACAGCTGCTGCATCTCTACCATGGGGCTGTTGCTGTAACCAGACTCACTTGGCAGCTTGCAGCCTTTTTCCACAGGGAAGTAGGGCATGCTGCTTGCTTCTTTCTTGAGTGACAGTCATCCTTGGCTGGGGGGGACACTTGAGAAAGCAGCACTGGCTGCTTGTGAAGGGCTTTGTCTCCAGGATGATATAAGAATGATCTTATTCCTTGTTGAGGCAGACAAACATATTCCAGTAAAACTTATTCCACCTGTACTGCGGCATCTTGGCCTGGTGCTGTACCACAGCACTGTGTTGTATCACTGAACGGATGGGCTGAAGTGGGTGGAGTCCTTGCTGATGCCTGGGTGCTGCCTTGTTCTGAGCTATGCTCTTTCAGTGTTAAAATATGAGGGGTGTTGCTCTTCTCTCTCCTTCAGACTGCTTGTCAGACCTGCCAGGAGCAAGGTCAGGGCTTCTGGAGTGCCATTACTCTGTTCAGGCTTGCTTTTACAGGGGTGTATTGGGTAGAAACCATGGAGCCACAGCACCGGTGAGCAGAGGACTGTGCTGACATCCCTTGGGTTGTACTGGGGACCACAGCCTGAGTTATGCTCTGGCCTCACTTCAAACCTTACCTGACTGTAAGCCAAAAGCAGTTGGCTAAACTGAAGCTGGGAGATGTTCCTGTCTCAATAGTCTTAATTGCTTTTGATTGATATGCTGTCTTCACTGGGCTCCTAATGGTCAGAGGGAGATGGGGGATTGGGAAAAGGGTGCGCTAGGATGCGGCATGTGCCTGGCCTGGCCAGGATTGGACTGACATCGTCATCACATCAGCACTGGATCTGATCTCTCATTTTCCCTTCTGCCCTCAGAGTCCCCCCCTTGCTGTTGCTGTACCCCGATGCTGATGTGCTCTTTGTGATGAGAGGTGGCTCTGTGTCACTTCAGGGCTCTTGCAGCTTTTCCTGCCAGACCCAAGCACTTGCTAGAAAACTTGCCCGGTCCCTGGGCCGTGCAGGCGGTGCGTCACGATGCGGACGTCACCGCGAGGTGTGACGTGGTACAGGCGGCAGCGGCGTCCCCAGGGCGGTGGGGCCCGGGGCGGCGCGTCGCTTAGCAACGGGAGACGCCACGCTGCTTTCCCTGTGAGCGCGACACCTGGGCAGCGGGCTCGGCCAATGGGCGGCAGGGAGAGGCGAGCAGCGGCCAATGAGGACAGGGGCGGAGCCGACACAGCCTGCAGAACGCCCCGCCCTCGGCGCGAGAAGCTGCCGCACGCCCCTTCGGGTGTGGGTTGATCTGCCCTGTGCTGAGAGGAGAAGGAGGAAGAGGAGGTCGTGGAGCTGAAGAAGAGAGAGGAATCGAGGAGCATCTCCAAGGTAGAGGCTCTTGCTGCTTCCCTGGGTGCTCCCCTGCGAGACGTCCCCTTCTCCGAGGGGGAGAAGGTGCTGCCATTGCGCTGCCCTTAGACCAAGGTCTGGATGAAGCCCAAGCTCACGTGGGGCTTTGCTGCAAGAAAGGGCTAGAGTTCTGGGGAGGAAGAGCTGGGGCCGAAACGGCGCTCAGGTTGCTCTGAGTCCTCCCCGTGTTGCCATCATTGGTCGTGATGGGTGCCCTACAGCAACCAGTGCCCTGGACTCCCCATGTTGTTGGTGGTGGTTGTCGCTGCCCTCCCCAGCCAGGCTGTGGTTGAGGTGGTGGCTGAGGCTCTCCCGTGAGGCCCCAC